ATTTTTCTTCCAGTTCCTCTTAAGAATGATAGTCTACTATATTAGATGCATAGTTTACCTTTTTTCCACATTAGTTCATTTTTAATTTTTTTAAATGGTTTCTTTTTTTAAGATTTTATTTATTTGTCAGAAAGAGAAAGAGCACAAGCAGGGGAGCAGCAGGGAGAGGGAGAAGCAGGCCCCCACTGAACAGGGAGCCCAATGTGGGGCTCCATCCCAGGACCCTGGGATCATGACCTGAGCCGAAGGCAGACGCTTAACCGACTGAGCCACCCAGGTGCCCCTCATTTTTATTTTTAACTCAAACATTTTTCATGAAAGTATACATGTCAGTCTCCCTCCACCTGATCCTTTATAGATCAGTTCTCCCCAAAGGATACTACTGTTAACCAGTTTTTTGAACTCTTTAAAAATATTCTTTGTGTATGTATATGTTCTAGGTATATGTATATATGCACACATACTTCCCTGCTTTTTTTTATACACTCAGTCTGTGCCTTGTTTTTATCATTTATAAGTATCTTGGAGGTTATTCCACATCGGCACATATAGATCTTTAAGCCAGTCTGTTCAGCATATTCTTTTACTATGAACAAATCACTAAGCGGGAAGCCAACGTTTTCAAAGGTTGTTTGGCAAGCATGGAATCCAAACAAAGGGAGTTAATAGATCTTTAGAACAGGAGTCCTAGCAGCTAGTATAGCTTGAGGAAGTCTCACCCACCATAAAAATATTCTTACCAAAGAACCAGTAATGTTCAAGTTAGCTAAGCTAAGATTCTCTTTCCCTTAGACAAGAACTTGAGTGGACACAGGAGATGTTTGCCTCTGTGATTATTTACTTTTTCATTCATTTACTTATTGCTTCTATGATTAACCAATCCCTCTTTTGATACATAGTTCTTTCTTTAGATATATTAATACATTGAGTTTAGTAACTATCATACCTTACAGACTAGAGAGCCAGGTGGTCTCCTCAGGGCTTCAAGTCTCATATCTCTATTTTAGTTAATTATTTTGTTTGATAGCTCAGTTTTCAGGTATTTTTGAGTCTTGGAATGGTGAGTAGATTATATTACTAACATCATTCCCTTCTTTCTTCCAATTCCCTACTATATGTAAACACTGCCTTTCCTATTGTGCTTTTTAAATACGTTCAGTTATTCTTCCCAGTAGCCATTAACCATTCCCAGTGACTCCTTTTATTGGTGAGAATTAGTTTGACCTATCTCTGGCATATTTGGCATTAATAATAAGTAGGTCTGTTATTTCAGCCAACAAGTTCTGTATTTTGCATTTTGAGATTCTTTTTTTTTTTTTTTT